CTCAGTGTTGCCCCCGTACCGGACCGGGGACCGGCAACGGGATCGCAAGCCTCGGTGTTGCTCCCGCGCCTCGCTCAGCCAGTGAGCGGAAACCGGTCTGTATGTGGGATCCGAACCCTCGGGTGGGAGTGCCGCCTCGCTTCCCAAGCGGCGCACTATCCAGTGCGCCACCGGGCCGGCCCAAATTTTCCAAATCTTTATGCTCTGCTTTCCTTTTACATTCTGGCTTTACATCATGCCTTTGCCGCCATAACTTAGTAGGCTGCTAAAAGTAATCATGCAGTTTCCTTAATGCTTTGCTGGTTGGAAATTTGTTCTGCCAAACATTCTGGTTCACAGCTCTTAAGTCCCACTTTCCACAAAGTCCAAGGGCATGGACACAATGCAGCCAAGTTCCGTGCTATGGTGTAGCAAGGATGATCTTTTGTCCAGTTCCCGATAAGTTCCTCATTTCTATCTGAGACCTCATCATCTGCATGGCCTTTACTGTCCACATTTCTATCAGCATTCTGGTCACAGCCATTTAACCAGTCTCTAAAATGTTCTAAACATTCTCTCATCTTTTTGTCTTCTTCTAAATCCTCCAAACTCCTCCAACCTTTGCCTAATACCCAGTTCCAAAGCTGCTTCCGCATTTTCAGCTATCTGTATAGCAACACCCTGCTCCTCGGTACCAATTTTCTGTATTAGTCCGTTTTGTGTTGCAGTAACAGAAATACCTGAGACTGGGTAATTTATAAAGATTAGAGTTTTATTTGGCTTATGATTCTGGGACAGCTGCATCTGGAATGGGCCTCAGGCTGTTTCTACTCATGGCGGAAAGTGCCAGGCAGCCGGTGGGTACAAGCAGATCACATGGCGAGAGGAAGCAAGAGAGAGAGATTGGAGGTGCCAGAGTCTTTTAAATAACCAGCTCTCGTGGGAACTAGTAGAATGAGAACTCACTCATTAATCCCTCCTTCCCCAGGGAGAGCATTAATGCATTCATGAGGTATCTGCTTCCATGGCTCAATCAGTTTCCAACTCTGCCACATTGGAGATCAAATTTCCATATGAGTTCTGGAAAGTCAAAACTTCCAAACTCCATCACCCCCCCCCCCGGGGCGCCCACAACCTGGCACACTACCAGAGCCAAGGAGCATGCCAAAAACATCACATCCGTGTGGGTGGCCCACAACAGTAACCACGGCTGCCGTGAAAGTGGCTAGACATGACAACCACCATGCAGATGGTCCACCAGCCACTGGAGTGCATTGACACAAGGAGAGTCGCCAGCAGAGACCAAAGAAAAGAAGAGGATGTTTCTCTCCACAAAGCCCATTCCAGAGTGACAGAAGAAGCATCTGCTCTATGATAATAGTGGGGGACCTGAACATATCTCTTTCTGCGCTGGACAGATCATCTAGGGAACAAATCAACAGAGTAACCATTACTCTTTCAGAGGGAGAGAAGAAATCTAGGGTTATCAGTGGTGGGAGGGAGGGGGGATAGGGAGAGATTGGACAAGGAGCATAAAGAATAAGTACAATTTGTAACAGTATACATACTAGTAATATTAATTTGATCAACATATGTCAACATTGAACCCCAAAAATATGTATAATCAATTATGATTCGATAAAAAATAAAATATTTAATCTGCTAGATAAATGTCTCTAAAAACCTATGAGGTACTTTATGATTTATGTATTTCCTCTAGCTATGAATGTGTTTTTAATACGGATATATATATACACATCTTTTTTTTTTTCAGGCCTGGTTGCAGCATGCTTGAGATCTGGGATGTGGAAGACCCTTCCAGTGCCGCTAACCCTCCCTTATGTAGCGTCCTGCTCAAGGACGCGCGGCCTTACTTCACCACTGTGTTCCAGAACAGCGTGTACAGAGTCCTGAGGGTGAACTAAGGACGAGACTACCCATTACACTGTGGTGCAACGAAGGGTGTTGAAAACAATCACATGTTGGCTTATTTACATTAATAAAAATCACAAGCTTTAATAAGAGATGCTTAAAAAGAAGATAAAAATGATTTAAAGTTTTTTTGATTATTAAAGGTAAATCACCTCATTGTTTCCCACTGAATGTTGGCCTTATAAAGCCTGTAAATCATTTCATGCTGCATAAACTAATTTTCATCTTAGAGTTTTAAAGAAAAATGTATGTAAAACAATATGAAATTTTATAAATCAAGGGTAAGTCCTTTTTATCCAACTAGGAGATTGCTTTAGATTTTCTCTGGAACCAGGGTGGAACAACTCAAACACCGAGGACAGAAGGACGCAGGCTGGGAGATGACAGCACCTTAGGATCCTGATACTGGTCACGGCTTCTTTACTTCTGCCAGGAAATTGTAACCATGTGTCTATTAAAGGAGTTTTTTCTTTCACTAGCTCTCAGGAAAGATCTTTAATAACTTTTAACAACTTTTTTATCATTTCAAGTTAAAATGTTTGAAAGAAACCAGATTGTTTTGTAATGTTTTGAATCTCTTCAAATGTATCTACCCAACCAGATTAGTATTTTACACTGATTAGTTCTCAGTCTAAGCTCAACACGTTATTAATCTGTTTAGAACCAAGTAGTTTTTTTGTTTTTCTTTATATCCAGGTGAAATAACAATTGCTACGGTACACAACCAAATTAGGGGGTTAAACATAATCAGAAAAGAAAACCCAGTTAAATTTATCCAATGAGATTTTCGTTTTCAGATCCTAGACCTTGAATGAAGCAGAGGCCTTTCTGTCTCGATGGCCCTGCAGCTTATTGGATGTCGTCTCTCCTTCTTTTGTAATAACATATTTTTAAGTCCTTATGTATTTTAGGTGTTGGGTGAGGAAGGTCATATTTTATAAATCCTCTTCCCCCCAAAATCCTACCCAACAATAATGCTTTGAAAAGTAGTATATAGTTATCCTGAAGATAATTATTGCTAGCTACAAAAATAAACACTCTTTTTTTCTGCTTGACAAATGCTAAATATGCCAAATCTATAGTATTTTAGTGTGTGTCTACTTTAAGTTAACCATCTTGGAGTTTTTATAATGCCTGTATATTCTTGGCCTTCTGTACCTGAGATCACAAAATGACTTAATTCCATATGTTAATTCATTTTAGTAGGTAGGCAGTAATATAAAGGAAAACCAATAAAACTTTTTGTCAACTTTTATAGTTGTAAAATATTTTAATACCAGATACAAAACAGCTAAGGAAGCATGCCACATTTTGCTTATTTTAGCATTTAAAAATAATTTGGTGTAAGTATGGGATAAAGAAAGAAAGGGGCAAAGTAAGAAAAGATACATAACACCTAACATAAAAATTAAAGTAACACATTCTAGATGTTGTTTTTATAGAAAATATTTTTTAAAGGTTGGTAGAATTTTATTAAAAGGAGAGGTCTATTAGCTAATAAAATATTCAATACAAATATATTTCTGTGAACTTATGTACAGGAAAACCAATAAAATTATATTCAACTTTTATAGTTGTAAAGTATTTTAATACACGATGCAAAGCAGCTAAAAAAGCATGATACATTTTACTTACGTTAGCGTTTTTAAATAATTTGTTTTGGAGTAAGTGTGGGGCAAAGAAGAAAAAGAGACAACACCTAACATTCGTAAAATTAAAGTAACACATTTTAGATGCTGTTTTCATAGGAAACACTTTAAAGTAAAGTTGTCAGAATTCAACAGTAAAAGGGATGAGCTGTATTAACTAAGAAAATGTTCCATACACGTGATGGTTTCATATAGATTTTGTTATTTTCACGTGCTGTGCAGGTTAATTAAGAGCCCTTGAAGATCCTTTGTGGATTTTTCTATCTTTTCTTATCCTTTGCCAAACATGTTTTGAAATTGAAATAGTTCAGAAATGAAGGTAGAAATCACAGGTTGCTGTATTTATTGGCCGTGTTTACATTAGTAATCTTTCTTGGCCATTTAAAAATAATTCTGAATAATACACAGAAGGCAACGTCCTGTGGTGGAAATTGTGTGGGCTTTGTACCAAGACGGGTCTACGTTTGAGTCCTGGCTCTTCCATACTGGGTGTGTCATCTACTGTCCATTCGAAAGATCTTTCTTAAACTGTCACTGCATGCCAGGCCCTGTGCGAAGCATGGTCGTGTCACTTAACTCTACGCACCTCAGTTTCTTCACCAATACATCAACTAATGCAACCTACTCTACTCGGCAGGCTCATTATGTGGATTAGCGAAATGTGTTAAAGTGCTTGCTACATATAGGCAGTCAACAAATGGTTTCTTCTGCTGCCCTCCCCTGACCCACTAAATTACCATTTTAGTAATATCAAGTTACAGGGTGACGTTAGCTCATCTCAGAATTCCACCTTTATCGGGTGTCAACACATAGGAAAACTGGACAGCACCTTTCATGCAAATTATGCTGTTGGCTTTTCGCCTGCATATATTTTATTTTTCGTTCTCTTGAAATGTGAAGACTGTGCATGAACACTGGGTACTGGGTTGAGTGATGGGTAGATCCCCTTGTTTCCTGTGGTGGTGTTTTTGCATACTGATCTGAAACCATGGCTGGCACACAACACGTCCTCCAACATTCGAGTGCTCCCAATGCGCTCATTACTTATATGTTTTGTTACATGAGCAATACAAACTCATCCTAGAAAAATTAGTTTTGAAAAAACAGGAAATTCGAAAGAAGGGAAATCTTCAGTAGTTGCTAACATTTCATTTTCTCCCAACTTTTAGTCATACCTTTTTTGCTTTTAACATTTCATGTAAAACTGTTTTGCTCTTCACATAGCAAAATGGAAATGTTACATTCTTATGAATAGGCAACTTCAGTGGCTACATAATATCCTATTCTGTGTATATGTGCCTGTGTGTGTGTGCGTGTGTCTTAATCATGGTTGACCTATTTCCATTTTTGCTGCTATGCGTATGTATATACTTCAGTGGCTACATAATATCCTATTCTGTGTATATGTGCCTGTGTGTGTGTGCGTGTGTCCTAATCATGGTTGACCTATTTCCATTTTTGCTGCTATGCGTATGTATATATAGAACACTGCAATTCTTACTGCATTATTTTTTTTCTGATTTTAAAATTATTTCCGTAGGATCAATTCCGTAAAGTTAGATTTCAGTAAAAGAATGTGAACACCTTTAAAGCCTTCAGTGCAGTTTGCCTCAAATTACCTTTGCAGGATTGTGTGAGCCACAGCAGTCTGTGTGTGAATGACAACTCTCACTGGCATCGGCTAGCCTTATTAAAAATATTTTTTGCTGATTTGTGAGGCTGAAAATAGTGTTCATTATTATTTTAATTTGCATTTATTTCATGTCCAGCAAAAACTGACCATATTCTTATTTTTTAGAAAATGTACTTATGTGGAGCTCTGTATGCGTTCATATTCTTTAATTCATTAAGACTCCTCAAACGGGGTGGGAGTAGAAGTAAGGGAGAAGAAAAATCTTTCTTTGGAGATTCTTTTCAACCACGAGAAATGATATTTTCCAAAAAAAAAAAAACAAAAAAACCAGATATATGACAATGCACAAAAGTTAAATTAAGATGGATCCAGGACTTAAGTGAGAAAGGCAGAATATTAAAACTTAGAAGAAAATTGTATAACTTAGAAGAAATGTAAATTAAAACCACAAGGCAGAATTACAAGTCTGATAATAGAATTGGTGAGGACAGGGAGCAACAAGTACTGTGATGAAATTCCAGTAGGAGCATTGCCACCTTGGAAAATACCGTACTACCTAATCAATTTCAAGGTGTGCAGTGCCTGCAACCAACAACTTCACCCTAAAGAAATGTTTGTACTAAATATATCAGGAAAACCAATTACAAGAATGTTCGTGGATGCACTATCTGTACCTTAAAAACCCTAAAAACTAAGAACAACCCAAAGGGCCGCAAATAGGATTGACAAAGTGAAGCCTTTCCATGCAGTGGAATATTGTACAGAAGTGAACGTGATCTATACTCCAGCATCGGCAGGAGCAAATTTCAAATATTATGTTAAGGATAAAAATCTCCGTCATCAGAGGGCACGTGTGTGTGCAGATACGCAGGTACTTCAGAAAGTACAGAAGGATTATCTTTCCATTGTGACAAAGTGAAGCCTTTCCATGCAGTGGAATATTGTACAGAAGTGAACGTGATCTATACTCAAGCATCGGCAGGAGCAAATTTCAAATATTATGTTAAGGATATAAATCTCCGTCATCAGAGGGCACGTGTGTGTGCAGATACGCAGGTACTTCAGAAAGTACAGAAGGATTATCTTTCCATTGTGTTTTTCCACAAATGTGAAATACCTTCGTATATATGCCATTTATGTATAGACAAAAAGCAAACAAAACAACATATTAGGAGACGCAGTGTGGCAAAACGATGACAGCGCAGGCACAGGGAATCCAGAACGTAGGCTGGTGGCCGCTTCTACGTGCGACCCAGGAGAGGCCCCGGGCGCTTGGGCGCCACTAGTCCATTCTTAACTTGATGCTGAGTACTTAAGTGTTGATTTTATAATTCTTGAAAATGTGCATATACTTTATAATGTTTAATATATTTTTTACCCTTCAAAGTAGGCCTTTGAGACTGCATCAGTGATTCCTAAACCTCGGGTTCTATGTCAGGAGCTCTGGGGGCTTAAACAAGCGTGAGGAGCTGCTCTGAGGACTGAGGTTCAGCTGCTCACACAGCTCTTCAGATCGTGGCTCTTCCGTTTGTGCAGTGTGCACTGTTTCTTCCAATGGAAGACTTTGAAAAAGACATCATTCATATTACAATTCACGATAGCTATTTTTTTTATAAGTCAAGATGTGCAATATCATGCAGCTTCTTCATGGCCTTAAAATAGCCTCCATATGCTGAGAATTCTGTTTTTGCAACCCAGCCCATCAGTGTTTGATGACCTTTGTATATCAAACACCCATGTTCTATCATGTATAGCAAAAATACAAATTAAATGTGTTTTTAATTTTTTAAAAAGGAGATTTTTATTACCCAGCTTTCAGCACTACATTGATTAGAACTCCAGATTAATCTCCCTGTTTCTTTTGAATTATATTACTATTTTTCATCTCTTCCTGTGGTAACTACAAATATTAGAAAAAAATAGAAAATGTACCTACTTAGCACATGATCCAAAAAGTTTTTTTTTAAATCCATAGCATAGGTTTCAGTAATGTTCAATAGGAAACTGCTTTTTGTTGAAATAAAATCTAGTCAAATATTAACATTTGCTATTTAATTCCTCTTTGTATACCCTGCGATTCTTAGAGTTCTTTGTTTTATTCAACATACATTGTCTGCCAACTATCCAGAGACAATATGCAAGAGTCTGTCCCTGTGCTCCTTTTTGGGGGGACAGCTGGCCTGTACAGGGACCCAAATCCTTGACCTTGGTGTCATAACACCACATTTTAACCAACTGAGCTAACTGGCCAGCCCCTGTCCATATATTCTTTAAAGGCCCTCTCCATTTTTTAATATTTTCACTAGCATAGAAGCTAGTGGGTGATAATCACTATGATCAATGCTGGCACACAACAGAGGGACACTTCAGTAGACTAGGTCATCTCAGACTGTCTTAGAGGCTGCCTGATCTGTATCTTGAAGGAAAGGTAGGAAGTAAGGAAGTAAGTGAGGGACACATTGCTCCAGGACAGGGAGCAGCATGTGCAAAGCTCAGGACCGCTGGGGCTGTGGCGCCGTCGAGGAGCTGCAGCTGGGTTCAGTGAGAGCGTGTGCACGGGAGGTGCTCAGCACAAGCCGGAGAGAGACAGGAGCGGGTCATGCAGGTCGCAGGGCCTAAAGGAAGACAGGGCCTCGGGAGTGGGAAGACAGTCAGTTAACTCACAGGATCCGTTTCTTCATCTTCACGGAATCATGAGGATCAAACAAGATCTTCCACGTAGACATATGCATTACGAAGTGCATGATCAAGATCATTTACATGAGGTACTTCAAAACATTCAAGTAAAGATTCACATTATCTTACAGTTCTATTTTTCCACGAAGTTTTGATGTACCCTCATATTTGACTTTAAATCACGTTATAGAGGAGCTTTTGCAGGTACTGACTTCCTTATTATGCTCACCTGAGATTAAAATTCATTTGTAGCCTTTTGTGTCCATAGACAATGGCCCTTACTTTTAAAATTCCA